ACACTCATGTGCTGGTTGGTATTCTGAATATTCAGGAGGGACCCTCTGCTAGTCTCCTGGTTCTCTGTGCAGCTTTCGTCTCTGGTATTCTGTCCTGTGAACTCAGCTGCCTTGGCCTCTGTAAACATGGGTAGGCTAGCAGGGTCCACTTCAGTTCCCCCTCCCTGTGCCATAGACTGGAAACTATCACAAGGGAGTAAGCCCACCTTATTTTCCCACCCTTGGGGATTACTCTTTGTGTCTGAGTTTTGTGGTTTTATCATGAGGGTAAATCCAGGTAATTACCTCCATGTTGGCCAGAGCTGAAAAAAAATCCTGTGCTTTTTTTAAAAAAAAAAAAGATAATGGAGTACTCAGCAGGTAAATGCAGAAACTCAGATACTGCGAATCAAACAAGTCTAAAGCCACCATTGTAAAGATGACAAGCCAGAGGCTTGGAGGAAAGTGGCAGTCAGAACCAGCACTCATCTCTTCAGTTTTGGTCTAGTTATCTTCTTAGAAGCTCACCCTTTGTTCAACACCTTTATCTTGCCAAGCTGTTTCCCATTTTCAAGTAATATATTCTCAAAGAAAATGCATGCTTTTTAAAAAGAGAACTTGCTTAAATATTCATTTGAATATGATCTCAAGACTGTCCCTCTCCAATCTTGTAAAAAGTTGGACACATCCTTTGATTAGGCTTCTGGACTAGGAGGCCTTCCCAGAGACCTGGAAGAGTGTGTGAATCTGGACACACTGGAATTCTGAACTCCCCAGCCCTCTCGCTCACTGAGCTCCTGGAAGGCTGGCAGTTTAAGGTAATCCCTCCTGACAAGAAATGGTAAGTTTTCTCCAGGAAATCTGACCAGCCCAAGCGGAAGTCCTAAAGGTGTGGACACTGGGGGTTTAACCCCCAAAACTCAATTAGATCATCTTACAAATACATATTCTTTTAAATGTCCTACCCTTAAATATAATACTACCAATGACTGCCAGGCAGCTAAGAAAAGTCTGTAAGATGAAGAACTATAAAAGAAAAACAAAAGGGGGAAAACATATCAGGCAAGGAGATGAAAAGCTCAACAGAGCCCGTTAGGCGTGCTCTCCCTCTCGGGGGCACGCCCGCGCCTTTCTTCCCTCTCAGGCATGCACCTCCTAGACTCTAAGGGTCCCCATGAGACTTGCAACCAGGGGAGCAGTGGGCAGTAGCAGCTCATCCTGGGCTAACCCCTTGAACCTGTCTCCAAGGCCTGTTTTCTCTGACTTCCCAGTGAGCAGAAGCAGCTCAGGCTAGGTTCTCCTGTTGTTTCTTCTATCCTAAGCTTTGTTTCACTGTCCCCAGCTTTAATAATCATATTCTCAAAAAAACCCCCAAAACCCCCACGTGTGCAGACACACACACACGGAGAACACCGTTAATATCCTCAGAGATAAGATATTGCAACCCAGGCATGGGGTACTAGTAAAAAAAAAAAACTTAAAAAGGGACATTCAGAGATTCAGCTTGGTGAAATTTTCCATAAAGGAGATCAAAAGACATACATTGAGGAGTGCAGGGAGAGAACAGTAAGAATAACAGGTAAGTACAGGAGGTCTAACACCTGAGTTAAAAGGAAATCCAGAAGGAAAAATCAGAAAACCAAAGGAAAGAAATCATTAAAAAATAATTCAAGAGCCCAGCTGGTGTGGTTCAGTAAACTGAGCGTCATCCTATGGACTAAGAGGTCCCAGTTCGATTCCCGCGCAGGGCACATGCCCGGGTTGCAGACTTGATCCCCGGTAGGTGGCGTGTGGGAGGCAGCCTCGTATCTCCCTTCCTCTCTTTAAAAAATAAATTTAAAAAACTTTTTTAAAGAATAATAAAAGAAAGTTTCCCCAAAATAAAGGATGAGTCCATACTGACAGGGCTCACCAAGGGCCTGGATCTTGCATGAAAACAGACTCTGCCAAGGCACAGCACTGTGAAATTTCAGAACACTGGCAACAAAAGAGAAAAAGTCCCACACAAAAAATCAGGACTCAGAACGGCTTCAGACTTCTCTAAAACAGCATAAAAGGCCAGATGAAAAAGTAACAATGCCTTCAAAATTCTAAAGGAAAATCTCAACCTAGCATTTCATACCCAATAAAATCAAGTATGAGACATTTCCAGACATAGTCTCAAAAAACTACTTCCTATGCACCTCTTCTACAGCAGGACTCCACCAGGATGAGGTAATAAACCAAGAGGAGGAGGTTACAAAGAAAACAGGAGATTCAACAGAGAGGTGTGGGGAGAGCCCACGATAACACAATACTTAAGGCCCAAGGGAGAGACAGTCCAGATGGGGACAGGTCAAAAACTGATAAAATAGTCAATGTGTTAAGTTTGGAATTAAAATGGTGACAAGGGGACAGGAAACTAGGCAAAAAAAAAAAAAAAAAAGAGAGAGAGAGAGAGAATTTTTAATTCTAGGGAAAAGAAAGTTCTTGGGGAAAGTAACTTAGTCCACTGCATGACTGAGCTGTGATTTAAATACCCAGCCATAATAATGTAAACACTATGATCTCAGCAGATTCACAGGATGAGGGGGATGGGTGATGGAGTCTGTGCATGGCAGGCAGAAGGGAGACATAAGCCTAAAGGTGATGCCTAACATACAGCATCAAGGAACCATGCAAACATGCTTCAGTGTGGTGTGGTGGCAAATACAAATGAATCAGCCAAGAGACTGAAAGGTGACAAACTTGATTAAGGGAAATGGGGCAGACAGGCAGGGAGGGTGGGAGGGATGCTGTTTTCCATAATAAACCTTGCAGAATTATTTGCTTTTTCAATGTGAATAGCTGATTTTTCTTCTAAAATGTGAGAATAAAACTTTTTATAAAGCTGTTTTAGGTTTTGTTTTATGAAACTTCCAATTTTTTACTGTGAACATTTAGTTAGAAACAAAAATGTGAGAACACCCTTTACTTTCCAGGATATAGGTGGGGTTACAACTAAGTTTCACTGTGTGTAGAATCGTGGAAGGCTGACAATTCCTGCATGGTTCCCAGGGTTAACCATGTCCAAAGCCAGCTTTTCATTTGCTATATTAGCCATTCAGGAGGCTTCATTTATAAGCCAAATAAACCAATGTCTGTAAATCAAGGTGACAAGCACAGAAACAAAGCAGCTAACACAGGGTGCTAGTGGGTATTACATCTTCTACCTGAAAGAACTCCATTTATAAAGACTTCAAAGAAATCTACTCTATATGAAAGTTTTTCTTACCTGAAATAATTCTTAGTCAAACTGAAAATAAACTTTATTTAGGGAGTAAATTCATTTGATATGGCCCCACATCCAGAAACCCTCCCCTGGAGCGGTCCTGCTTCCGGAGTCACCAGTCACACTTCATCCAAGTGTCAGAGGAGCTGGGGTCCTGGCGCAAGGCACACAGGGGCTGCTCTGGGGGTTGGTCTTCAAGGCCTTACTTGATGTGCCTGTGTTATCTGGCTAACCCCACCAATGCTTGCTACTTGAGTTTTGTGTGTGTTTTTAAAATTTATTGAGAGAGGGATGGAAACATGATCTGTTGTTCCACTTTATATATTCACTGGTTAATTTTGGGGAAAAAATTTTTTTCTCCAATTTTTAAAGGAAGAGAGAAACATCTATGTGAGAACATAACATCAGTTGGCTGCCTCCTGCACACCCCACCACCCCACTGGGTATCAAGCCCGAAACCCAGGCACGTGTCCTGACTGGGAATCGAACCAGCAATCTTTTGGTGTACAGAACGATGCCCAACAAACTGAGCCACACCGACCAGGGCTACTGATTGATTATTGTATGTTCCCTGATGAGGAATCAAACCCACAACCTTGCCATATCAAGATACTAACCAACTGAGCTACCTGGCCAGGGCAGCTATTTGGTTTTTTACTACAGGAATAATAAAGGGTCTGTTACCTCTTGGTCATGATTATAAAGCAAAGCTTGTTTAGAAAATCCCTATTTGATGCCAGTTTAACAGATGTGCTGGATTTTCTTCTTCCATTGCGTGAATAATCCGTTCAATGAGTAATGTTTTTTTTTTTTTTTATCCTCACTCGAGGACATTTTTCCATTTTTTGTTCAGATAGAGCGGGAGGGAGAGAGAGGAAGAGAGAGAGAGAGAGAGAAACATCGACGTGAAGGGACACATCGAGTGGCTGCCACCCGCACGACCAACCAGGGCCGGAGACAAACCGCAGCCAAGGTACGTGCCCTTAGCGGGAACCGAACCTGGGTCTCTCTGTACCGCAGGCCGACGCTCTAACCGCTGAGCCAAACCGGCCAGGGCAATGAGTGATGTTTTAAGGGCCAAAAACTGACAACTTTTCCTCAATAGTTTTTGCTGTAGCTCATCCTATACTGAAACCCTGGTAAGACCTCTTCGGTATTTGACTTCTTCAGGATGTTTTTCCAATTTCTGTGTTTTTGTCCGTTTTTCACTTTGCATACCCTGCCCTCTCTACCTCTGCTACGTTAAAAGCGGTGGCTGTGCCAATCAACACTGAGATGCTCTGATAAATGCAAAAGAATCTGTCCCCACAAAACTGCTTACAAAGCCAGTATAGGAGCCACAGATGTTGGTCGTTAAGATTCTAAATTACCTTTTAGTATTAGATTACTTTTGCCAAATGTGAAACTACTAGTTTCCAGGCTCAGAGGTCAGAGTACTGGACTTTGTTAAAGGCCAGGACCACCCATGCTATGTTTTTTCCAGCTGAACAATGACATTTCCACAAAGGTTACCTGAACAAAGCCCCATGTAGTGCCTGCATCTGAAGATAAATGAGACAGTCTGTGCATTTGCAGAGTTCTTCTAAGGGCTTAACCAGCCAAACTGGCCTGGAACAGCAATTTATACTTTTAATAAGAACAGTGCTACTTCAAAGCACTGGCATTTTCCCAGGACATCTCCCGGAGCGTCAAAGTTTAACCTGCTGCCAAAGCAAACAGAACACCAAACTCCAAAATGAACACACAATCCTTATTTTCACAGAAAGAAAAATAACAACCAAACTAAAATATTTATTTAGTTTAACATTTCCCCCACTCTACGGAGAAAGATGTCAAAAAAACCCACCTAGGACTATACACATAAGCACATACGCCACTGATTCCAGATAACCTAAAAGAAAAGAATAAAGGGCAAAGCTCTGTGCAACAGATAAATTTATCTTCGCTTCTGGAAGATGTTTCCACGTCCCATTCCACGTCCTCTTCCTCTTGCGGCCACTAAAAGGTTGGGAAGAGAAAGGACAAGTCCAGGTCAATACAGTCAGTGAGTGTTTACACCACAGAACAGTTGTGACTCTGGGACATCAGCATAGGAAGGGCCTTGAAAGGCCACCTGGTCCAATACCACACCTGCCCCCATCACATTTCACAAGGGAAAATGGAAACCCAGAGAGGGGCATCAGAGCTGGAGCGGGCACCACACTCCTGCCTTCCAGTCCAGCATACACTGAAAGCAAAGATGGTTTGGGGAGCAAGTCTGAGAACCGTAGGAAAGATGAATTCCCGGAGCTGCCTAGCACAAGCTAATAAGACATGACAGATGGACTTAATTCACACTTACAATTCTGAAAAAAATACAGTTAAATGTTAACATCTGTGAAGGGTTTATTATTCTTTGAGGGATTCTGCATGTATGAAATGGCTTATAATAGCAAAACAAAAAATAAAACAAACTCACAAAAAACAAAACCACTCTTCATACAAAGGGTACGATAAGACTGCTGTCTTCTGTGAACCAAAGGGTCTAGGAGAGGAGCAGCGGCTTAAAAGGACAGGTGAAATTATTCTGATGGCCACTAACTGGAGCCTTACCGCTCTCTCCTCTTACAGAGCTTGGAGCTGCTCTGAAGGAGGGAAGTCACCTGAGAACTCAGCCACATGCAGACAGGACCAGAGCAAGGGGTTGGTAAAGGCACTGATGGCTCAGGCAGAAGCCAGTGGATCTGGGCAAACGCACTGCCAAATGCCTTCAGGCACAGCCACTGGATTTCTTTTTTTGCTAAAGATGGTGCAGTTCCACAGTGACAGTGAGGACAGCCCTTCCCTGAGAAAGCAGAGGGAATAGCAGTTCTAGCAAGAAAGCTGGCATTTCTGAAGGCTTTTCTTCTCTAGGACAAAAGGTTCAGAGCTTCTGGTTCTATCTCTCCACAACTGCCTCTTGTCTAGGAAGGGCAAAAAGATTAACTGATCAGTTTTTTGGGAAGGCATTTTAAAGGAGTACTTTATTGCATCTTTAAACTCAGAAGCTACCTCACATATAAAATACACATAGCAGCTAAAGATACTGATAGAGAATCCAGTGACTTTCCTGCCCTGGATTTTACCAGTGTTAAGACAGATTCTAACAACTACACTTGCTTCCTTAGCTAATCAACATGGCAGAACTTTCCATGGACCCAAATATAATACCTCTGATTGGGCTAATCCCAAAGAAAGGCCAGACTATATCACTGGGAAAAGGCTTATCTCACTTTCAGAATATGCTGAAGAATGAATTTGTTTTCAAATAGAAGAAGCTTTGAAAATAGAAGTTTGGCCCCTTTAATGGAAAAAGAGGGCTTAAAACTGTTTACTTCTTGTCTGAAAATGGATACCTACCATCAGCATTCCCCCAGTTTATGCTGTGTCACACACTCCCCAGGCTCTCCGAGAACTGTTGCCCCATTGCTTCAGAAATCAAGCTAATCCACGCTGCAATGCTCTGCTCAGCAAACTAGACAACAGCAAGCTTCCCCTAGGTCCCTTGTTCATAGTTCTGGAAACAAAGGGTTTCCTAGAGATGACAGTTATCTACTCCCTTGTTCAAGGCAGAGATCTCCACCTTTTTTCTAAGGAGCCACTTTGGATTTTGCATAAGCCTTATGAATGTGACCAGGTGAGGTAAGACAAGGCCCCAAGCATCTCACAAATGGGGGACCCAAAAGTTTAAGTAAAAGGGGTAGCAGTGGGTGTGGAGATGGCTGAAGTCAGGTCTACCTCCAAGCTCTGGCACTAACTGGGCCCTTTCCTAAAAGATACACAACAAACCCGTGTGTTAAAACCAATGCACGAGAAACACCTACCTTGGGCCTTCAGAATGGCAGCTTTCCCCCGACCAGCTCCTGAGCCTTGGTTTTTATTTTTCATGCTCTTTAACATGGGTGCATTTTTCAGCATGTCAGGCAAAATCAGAAAGCGGATCTTGCTCCCACGAATGTACACCTGCTCCAGCTGTGCCACTCGGCCATCTCTGTATGTGACTGTGATGTTGGACATCTGGAAGAAAATCACCAGCTCGTCAGTAAGGGCCAATAGGGCCAACAGAGAACAGGGGCACACAAAGAGAGGGAACCTTGGCTGGTAGGAGGGGAAGTCCAGAAATGCATAAACTAAAATCATGAAATAAAGGAACGAGGCAAAGCCAGGGGAATGCAAGTAACTACTATGTGTGCCAGGGACTGTGCTAAGGACATTATATATAGTCCTCACAGCACTTTCAGAGTGGGTATGAGCTTTACCATTTTTACACATAAAAAATTTAAGGCACTTGTCCAAATTCAAATAGTCAGAATACACGGACTCCAGATTCAAGTCCATCTGGCCTGGCTCCAGAGCTCTAACTCTGCTATCCTACCTCCCTGCCAGCATGTGAAGTGCTCTTGGTGGTGATAAACTCTAATGAAGACAGCTTTAGTCTGCCTGTCCAAACTCTGTATCTTCTCTTGTATCTGCCCAGCACACAGACTGTAAAGACACCATGAAGGTCACAAGCATGCATCAGATGCGGTCCCTATCCTCCCAGAGTGCACACTCTAGAACAGCCCGTCGGGCTTGGGTGACTAGGAACTGAGAAGTGGAGGTGCAGTACCTCTATGGAGGGCACAGCATACTGAAGAGGGTTAAGGCAAGAACTAGCACAAGGAGACAGGACACTCAGGTAGGAACCTACAAATGCAAGGACTAGAGCAGTGGAACTGGGACAAAGGACAGGGTCCTGACCTCACACACTATGGGTGTCATTCAAGCTCATGGACAGACGAAGGGTAGATAGGGTTAGGGCAGCACTTTGGAAAGATGAATATGCTAACATAGATCAACTGTGGGACGGAGAGGTGGAGAGCCAAGAGGTAGACCAGCCATGGGAATGGGTTGGCGTGGAAAGGTGACATTAACCTGCTAATGCCCATCTCAATGGGTACCACATTTACCAGAAAAAGTAGCTTATTTTATGAGTATTCTGGAGGAAAGAGGGTGACCATTTATTCCGAATCGGTCAAGCTCTCACATTGTAGGGAGGTGTACCGTCTCCCCAAATTTCTGACTTGCTTGTTGCCATCTTATACTCTCACTCATTCTTTTAAGTACCCACTGACCACCCAGCCGATGTTTGAATACCCAGAGCACAAAGAGACTAACAACACTCTAGGGCCACCCCCATCATATCTTGTGAGGGCTCGTTTCCCATAAATCTTCTGCTCAAGGCCCAACACCTCTAGTCTCTTAGCAAATTTTCACTTTCTAAGTCTTTGCCATCCTGTTCTTGACTTGAACATCATAACCTGTTGCCACAAATGAACACTAAGTATGGTTAGATACCTGAGAAACATGGATCTGACCCAGGCTGACAATACCAGACACACCTGTGACTCTACAGAAGACAGAACGGACTTGGGAACCCACATTTGAGGCCAGCCCCACCTCCTATCAGGGATGTAACCCTGGCTAAGTCTCCTGGCTCCCAAACCTCAGTTCCCTCACCTACAAAGTGAGAAAAAATACATCATAACAAAGCCAATGTCTGTTGGACACTTAGTAGTGTCCCAGGAGATTTCACACAGCATCTAATTTTATACTACACAATCCTATGAGATATATACTATCACCACATCCACTAGAAATAAAATGGCACGACCTGTCAGAGGCAGATCTGTCCCCAGAGGCCAAGCCCTTCCCACTCTATTCCCCTGCCTGAGATCACACTGCCCGTGTGGCCTGCTGGGGTGCAAACCCAGGCAGATCTGACTAAATCCACACTCTTACCCACACACTAGACCACCACGTACTTCCCAGAACTATTAAGGAGCAAATTAAATGAGAAAAGTCAGTCTCAATGTTGTTCCTATTGCCTAACACATAATAGAATCTCAATAAATGGTGAATCCAAATGACAGTTAAAATGTCTATTTTGGACCCAGTCAGTGTGTCTCAGTGGTTGAGCGTCGACACATGCACCAAGAGGTCACTGGTTCGATTCCTGGTCAGGGCACAGGCCTAGCTTGTGGGCCTGATCCCCAGTCGGGGGCATACAGGAGACAGCCAATTGATGTTCTCTCTCATTGATGTTTCTATCTCTCTGAAATATCAATGAAAATATATTAAAAACAAACAAAACAAAAATACCACACCAGTGTCTATTTTGGGGGCTATGCTGCTGCCAAGTCACTTCTTCAGCATAAATTGGTATATCTCATTCCTTCCTGTCACAATATCCCCACCCATTTTGCAAACTCCTGACAGAGGTTGTTATGTAAGATGTAAACTAAGTGTTTTCAAAAACACTATGTGTTCTAGCTGAAGCACGAAAGAGCCCAGTATCACTGACTCCTATTAGAACCCCAACAACCAAGTCCACTGTTTCTCTTAGGCTCTTGCAACAGCAGAAAAGATTGTGCTGTTTTTTTTTTGTTTTTTAAATCCTCACCCGAGGATACTTCTCCATTTATCTTCAGAAATAGTGGGAGAGAGAGAAAGGGGAGAAGAGAGAAACATCAATGTGAGAGAGACACACTGACTGGCTGCCTTCTGCACAACCTCAACCAGGGCCAGGGCCAGAACCGCAACTGAGGTACATGCCCTTGACCAAAATTCAACCCATGACACTGGTCTGCTGAGCCAAACTGGCCAGGGCCGATTGTGCTGTTTAAACTCCCACAATCCCACTGCTCACCTACCCACATAGTTTAATAAGCCTAAGCAACATTCCCACCATAAGTCAAAGGCAAAAACTTAAGTAAACTAAGTTTTGATATGTCAGGCTGAAACACCCAGCTTACTCAGCTTTCCCAAATAACCACAATGAAACACAGATGGCATAAGCAAGCCAGGCTCCCAACTTAAATGACATCTTAGGAGAAAGATCTTTTTTTTTTTTTTATCCTCACCCGAGGACATTTTTGCATTTATCTACAGATAGAGCGGGAGGGAGAGGAGAGAGAGAGACTCACATGACCCCAACCGTGGCCAGGGACAAACTGCAATTGAGGTATATGCCCTGAGCGGGAACTGAACCCAGAACTCTCCGGTAAGAAGATCTTAGTATAGTAGTTTTCGCAGCTATCCATGGTCCAAAAATATTATATGGTAAATTTTAGAAACAATTCATAAATTTTAAACTACATGCCTTTCTGTGTAGCATAATGAAATCTCATGCTATATGCTCTGTCTTGGCAGGGACATGAATAATCCCTTAGTTCATCCCATCCACAACATATACACTACTTATATGTTAGTCATTTAGTAGCCATCTTGGTGATCAGATCAACTGGTGTCTAAGTAACCCTTATTTTATTTAATAATGGCCTCAAAGCCATTCACATAACTTTTATTATAGTATACTGTTATAATTGTTCTATTTTATTATTAGTTATTATTGTTAATGTCTTAATATGCCTAATTTATAAATTAAACTTTATCATGGGTATGTGTTTGTAGGTAAAAACATAGAACACATAGGGTTTAGTACTATTAGCTTCAAGCATCTCCTGGGGGGGTCTTGGAATGAATCCCCCTTGGTTAAGAGAGGACTATTACGGTCAAAACTGAGGGAATTTCCCCATACTGGGGCCAAGACAGACAGCACTAGCTCCAGGGCTGTAAAGCAATGTTGGAGTGATTCAGAATCATCAATTACAGCATTCCCATTGTGAGGCACACAGCAAATACTCTGCTCTACCATTGATAGGAGAGCCTCCTTCTTTTCCCCTGATCCCTTCTACTCATTTTCCTGCCTGAAATTTAACAGAACTGGGAGATTTGACACATCCAGAGGCGATAGGAATTAACAGATTTACTCTGGTAAAAACCACAGACTTAGAAGCCAGAGACTTGGGTTTAGATCCGCTCCTTCCATACTTGGTTACTCTGGGCATCTGGAAGCGTGTCCTCAGAGAGTTCCTGTGATGGCACAACGATTGAGTGCATGTAAAAACACGAACAGTGTCTGGCACAGAATAAGCTTGCAATGAATGGAAGTTTCTGGTACTTTATTATACACACAGATTTTTGGAGACAGGTCCATCTTAACAAGTTAAACTAAGACTTGAGATACTTAACAATGCCCAGATCTTCGTTTCTAAAGTCTATTCCCAACCTACAAGAAACCAAGGCTCCTTGAAGAAATAGCTGATTTCAGAGCTGGTTTAGGGAAAGTAAAAGATGAGCCTGTCACAAACATCTTATGCCAGATGGTAAGGTTGTGCTCCCTGCAAAATGACTTGGACGCACCAAAAGAACACAAGTCACCTTGAGGGTACTCCTACTGGCCAAATCAGGAATAACTAGAACATCAAAATAATGACAGTAACAGATTATATATAACCTTTCAATAAAACAAGAACTCACAGCCTATATTGATAATGAATGAATGAATGAATAAATGGAGAATAAGGGGAAGGTTCTTCCATACAGTAGACTTAGTAAGTATAGAAAGAATAAGTATAGAAAGAATAATAGAGTTTTATAAAGAATCATTCTTGCCCTGGCCAAGAATGATTCTTTGGTTGGAGCATCGTCCAATAAGCCAAAGTTGCAGGTTTGATCCCTGGTCAAGGCACATAAAAAAATCCACCAGTGAATGAATAAGTAAATGAAATAACAAATTGATGTTTCTTTCTCTCTCTCAAAAACAAACTAATGATTTCCTTTGGCCAGTAAGTTCTAAGCTGACACCTAAATATAACTTTATTAAATGTACAAGGATTCAAGTTTATGTTTCTGGGTATTGACTACCTGGCTTCATTTTACTGTATACCCCAGCTTACCTGCACTTTAACTGCCTGTGACTTTTATCCTACCAATACTTTTTTTTTTTTTATCCTCACCCGAGGACATTTTTTTTGATATTTGGTTCAGATAGAGTGAGAGGGAGAGAGAGAGAGAGAAACATCGATGTGAAAGCGACACATCGAGTGGTTGCCACCCACACGACCCAACCAGGGCTGGGGACAAACTGCAACCAAGGTACATGCCCTTAGCGGGAACCGAACCCGGGTCTCTCCGGACCGCAGGCCGACGCTCTAACCGCTGAGCCAAACCGGCCAGGGCCAATACTTTTTTGTAAGCCACCTCTAACTCTTTTGAAAAGGGATAGAGTAAAAGTTAAGTAATACACCCAAAATACATTCCTAGGGGAAAAGTCCATGCCAGTTGTGGTTGTGGTGGAATTCTATTAGTTTTCCCAATCTTTGTGGTATGTGACCCACCCCACTTTACATTAGAAATTATTATTAAAACCCAATAGCAAGAGGCAAACACTTAACTCCAGCTGCCCTTAGTACAGAACAAGCAGAAAAAGTTCTAAGAAGATGCTCTTTTCCCCAAAGCTGCTCACCGGGGCCAGTGGGCAATGCAAGACCCAATCGGCCACCTAAGCCAGTGAGTGAATTGTGCTCAGTGTTCACAGCTGCCAGGTTCAGCTCTGCCACAGTCTACAGGGTTTTATTCAATGTGGAAGATTCAGGTAAACCCAATGAAGCCTCCCATCTTGGCATCGGTAGTATTATGGGCTAAACTGTGTCCCTCTCCCAAATTCATATGTTGAAGTCAACAAAGAAATGAATAACCCCAGGAAGCAATGAATAATTCAGACACCTGATCCACTTGGGCAAGTCACTTTATCTCTGTGACCCTCAGTTTTCTCACCTGGGAAATAGTAACAGGTACTGTATGTTGAGTTTATAATGTGCAGGTGCTGAGCCAGCAGCTGCACACACATAACTCATGTGATCTTTAGAACAGCCCTATGGTGTGGGTGTTATCCCTGTGGCAGTCTTGGGAGTACTCTGCTGAGATCATCCTTCAAAGGGACAACAGTCTGTAAGAAATGCAGGGAGCTGGCAGCCTCCACCTGTCACCTTTGGATTCAACCACAGACAGGGCCACTCTCTCCTCAGGCTGTCAGCCAATGACCGACCTTCGGCAAGGGTACTAGGGCCAGGCCATTTCTGTCCCATGAACTCTTTAGTCTTGGCATCTATATCACACAAGACCAAAAACACCACCATCCTCATTTTACAGATGAGGAAACTGAGGTGATAAACACACTTAAGGTCATATAAGATTCAGACCAACATCTGATTATAAAATCCAAGCTCTTAACTAGTAATTTAAAGAACATAGTAGAAAGTGTGCTGATACACTTTTTAATGTTGTACAAATTCATGTGATTTTAGCAAAAGGCAAAGTAGTAACAAGAGAAAGGCACCATTATCAGGAAGCTGTTCCAACATTTATTAGTAGGGTAACATTTAGCAGATAAGTCCTTTAATCTTATTCTCCCTATTTATGGATGACAATACTCTCACCAAACCCACTTACCTCAAAAGGTAGTTGCTATAATCAAATGAGACTCATTCCCCCAAGAAAAATGGCAAATAAACACAGTATGAGCCTAGAAGATTCTGCTAACTGCAAAGCATTATGCAAACATGTAAGGCAAATGGATAATGGCTCTAACCTGAAGGGCACAGTGCCACTTCTCTTAAAATAGGTCCCCCAAAATATGGGAGAAAATGATTATGGAACGAAGAAAACAAAACAAAGTTAAATATTCCAAAATTCCAAATGGCTCTTATTTATGCCCACATCTTTGCACCTGTAACAGTCCCTAGCACACGAGGCTCTCAACAAATAACTGTTCAATGAGAACAACTTCAAAAAGACCTCCAATCACCATCTTTCTGGCCTCCAAGACAGAGGTCCAAGTTTTCCCTACAGTGTTAAGTGCAAAGCAGAATACCTGGCAGTTCATGTTGTCTTCCGCCTCAATGAGCTTCCCACGATACACCTCACCCGTGTTTGTCTCACATGTCACAATGTGACCCTCAGCTTCATGCAGGACTTTAATCGGCACACCAATAGACATCTTGGCAGGAAGAGAGTTCTACAGTGAGAGAGAAAAGAGTCAGTTCATCTTTCAGAGCCTCAGAGGGCATGTGGCACACATCACACCTCCCTCAAGACCTAACACTCCATCTCCCTCCCTGCTACCACATTCCCTTTACCTTAATCAAATAACCAATTGTGTGTGTATTGGGAATGAGGCGGTTGTAATAGAAGTACCTTACAATGTACTGTCGACCCATAGTTGTGGATAACACCCTGTTGGAAACCCATGATATAGCCTGGAGCTGTCCAATACAGCACCCACTGTCCACATGTAGCTATTTAATTTAAAATTAATTACAGTCCCGAAATAAAATTAAAAATTCAGTCCCTTAGTCACACTAGACACATTTCAAGTGCTCAACAGCTACACGTAGCTGTACTGGACACATATATATGTATAGTATTTATCACTGCAGATATAAACCAAGATCCAAGCAAAAGGAGAAGAGGTTGTGCATTTATTAAAACCCTTCAATGCCCTTTGATCCCCCACTTCACCAGCAAGGCCAAAAAGAAAATGTCAAAGTGTTCACAAAGTGACAATGTGCCACAAGCAGGAAATACTCATCTTGGAGGAAAAACATAACCACAGGGCAAAAGCACCTGGCGACCTAATTAAAAGGGACACGTTGTGGGCTTTTTATCCCGAAATGAGTAACCTCCGAGAGTTGAAACTCATCGTGTGCGTTCATGAGGGGGAAAGGAAACAGGAGGTTGGGAAAGACAGGCTCCTTTGGTAAAAAGCCTCAGGAATCTGAGTTTTACAATGAAGACAGTGCGGAACCACTGCAAGATTACAGGTAAAGAACAAGCCAATGAAAAGGCAAAAGAACTTACAGCACGGATCTCAGTCTAGAAGCAGGGAAAGTTGATAAAACTTCTGTTAACAGTGTGGAAAGCATGAGGGCACCAGTGCCTGAAAGGGGGATGGAGGCAAAGATGCAAGGAAGTTCTAAAAGGATTACTCAGATAGGATTCAGGTTATGGAGGCAACCAGCCAGAAATTACTTCAAGGCTATGGCCTGCATACTTCCAGAAACACTAGCTCGGAAACGTGAAAAAAATGAAGAGCATGTGCTTTGGAGTAAAGCTAAGTAACTCATTTGCAGGCGCTAGTGAGGCGACACTGATATTTGGGTGGCCCCTTCCCGCTCTTTTCCCTTCCGGAGCCCCGCAGAGCTCCACGGCAGCGCGTCCTTCTCCAGTCCCCGGTCCCTCGCGGGTGCCGTGGCCGACCCTCGCCTGCCCTCTGGCCTCTCCTCACCGGCTCCGGCCTCCTTTTCCTTCCCGGTGCGACGGCGGTGGCGGCAACTCAGACGACTAAGAGAGCGTGAGGCGAGCGAATGGCGGTCCCGCGCTCCCAGAATACCACGCGTCCCCAAAATGCCGCGCGCAGAGCCCGCCCCTTCCTCTTCCTAGTGCTGAGCGCCGTCTCGCCTTCGCTTCCTCCTCACCCCGCCGGCTGGGAAACATAGGCTCCGGTACGATCGTTCCGGCCCCGGAAGAGTGGGCAGATGCCTGGGCCCAGGTGCCGCCGGAGATATCGACCCTCAGGCTCAGGCCGGCAACGGGAGAGGGGTTATCCAAGCACCCCACACCAGGGACGGGCTGACCGAAAGGCAGGGATCTGGTGCCTGGGCCCTCGGATCGGGGCGGCAGGCGGTGAGGCCAAAGGCTAGGATCTCCCCTCACAGTTTAACCTTTGGAACCCAGCACCGCCAGATAAGGGGCATCCTGAGCGAGGGGAGGTATTTCACCGTAAGGATAGGGAAACAGGTATAGAGTAGAGGGGGTGTCGTTCCTGAAGGGATTACGGGTAGGATTAGGTCTTCTGGAACTCGGCAGTGCCTGGGCAGGGTAGCATCAGGCTTGGATCTGAAACAGAGCCTCTGGGGAGCCAAGACTCGCGGAACGTCAGGGTTTCGGGGCGGGGCTCAGAGAGAGGGGCGGGGCTTCCGGGGAACGGAGGTGGGGGAGGGTTCGCGCGTCCCTGGGAGGAACGGGAAAGGGGTGGGGCCACCAGAAGCCGAGACGGCGAATGGTCCGTGCGAGCTTAGACCTGGAGGCTGGGGCCCTCTTGGAATAGGAGTCTGGAGAAAGGAAGGGGAGGGGCCTATTTGGCGACCCAGAGAAGGGCGGGGCTTGGAAAGGGGCGGGGCCCCGGATCCTAGGCCTGGGCAGGCCTGGGCGGGGCTTGGGGCGGTCCAGCTGCCACCTCCCCTTCTCCCCACCGCGGTGGCGGCGGAGGTGGCGGTGGCGGTGGAGGGACTCGACACACACCGGTCCCGCTCGCGCCCCAGCCAAAGCTGAAGCTGCAGCCGGCTTCAGGCCGGGGCCATGGGCGCCCCGCGCCGCCCAGGTCATGAGGACGGAGGCGGAGGCAGCGGGGCCGCCACTGGAGCCGGGTTAGTGCCTCCCCGAGGGCCCAGCCCTCACCCTGGGGAACGTGGGGAACCCTGCCTTAGCGCGGGGCAGGGTCTGGCCGCGCGACCTTGGGCCGACCTCCGCCTCCGGAGGAGCTGTAGAGCTTCGAGCGAAACCTGCCAGGTGTACACTGCCAGCTGCCTTGGCCCTCCAGCCCCCAACCTCGGCTGGCCAGCCGGTATTCCTGATACCTCTGGGGCTGGGACGGCAGTCAGCTCTGATAGTGTCGTGGTGGGAGGGTCCCGGGTTGCGAAGCAGGGACACCACCTTCCCCAGAAGCTAAAGGCCCTTCTGGAGCCGCCTTGGGAGATCCTGACCCCTGGGGAAACTGAGGCCCAGAAGCACAAGGAACTGCTGAGAGCCCAGAGCAATGGCAGGGCTCTTCCTCTGGCCTCCCAGACTCAGTGTTTTGTCTTGTACAGTTCTTTACCCTCAGGTTCCTTCTGCCCCAAGGTGGCCTGAGTTCCTTTGGCTCCGGAACCAAGACTGACATTCAGCGTCATGATTCTCATTTGCTCTTCTAAGGGGGGAATGGGAGAAGTAGTGATTTGTGCTCAGTGCTAATACTAGAAAACTCTGAAGTGAGGTAAAACTCATGGGAGAGGTCAGGAGCACATGGAACCCCTACACTAAGGCATCAGTGGAACCTTAGTGCCACACCCAAGGAGTGGTCTCTTTTGTATTTGCAGCATGGAGTAGGGTTCTGGGATTTGCATCCTACGCCTCCAGCCCAGTGATCTTGGACCAGGCACTTGCCTTTCCTGAACTTCAGGAAAGTAATGGCTCACCTTCCTAGGGAGCTTTCTCTGAGCAGGCACTGTGCTAAGTTGTTTACATTCAGTGCCTCATTAATCCTCATAGCCACCACATGACGCAGGTTATCATTGTTGTTTTCACTTTTACAGATGAGCTGACTGAGACTGAGAGGCATTAAGTATTCAGGGCCAGTGAGCTGCCTTCCTTGGTGACAGCAGCCAACTAAAGCCAGCCAGGGCCTTCTGGGCAGACCTAGCTCTCAAGTGGGACAGTTCTTCTGTCCCAGGCATCAACATCTAGCAGCAGCTTTGGGCTTGGAAGGCCTCGCCTACCCTTATCATCCCCCACAGGAGTATCTCTGGGTTGCTCCTAGGTTGACTTGCTGGTGCCAAGACTGAGGACAGCCATGTGGGGATGTGTAGCTCTTTGGGGCCTCAGGATCAAGTAGCTCTAAGGATCAGGTCAAGAAGAGAAGGGATAGCCTGACTGGTGTGGCTCAGTGGATTGAGCCTCATCCCATGGACTGAGAGGTCCCTGTTCAATTCCCAGTTGTGGGCTTGGTCCCTAGTAGGGGGTGTGCAGGAGGCAGCCGATCAATGTTTTTCTCTCAAATTGATGTTTCTATCTCTCTCTCCCTTCCTCTCTCTTTAAAAAAAAATAAATAAAAACATTTTAACTTAAAAAAGAAGAGAAGGGACAGCAGAGTTCAGAGCATCTGCCCTGTGCCACATTTATGGCTGCACACAGACAGACTCAGAGCCCAGCCAAAGAGTAAGGGAGGAGCCATGCACAGAGGGTTGTAGTCTGGAAACCTGGGGATGGGGGTGCTGGGCATTGCAGTGACAAGTGGGCCTGGGGCATCTCAAGGGATAGGGCCTCTGGAGAAAAACACCTTTCATTCACCAAGCATATCTGAGTGCCTGCTCTGGGTTGAGGGTTAGGAGGAGGTAAATGCCACCTTGTCCCTACATGCCAACGAGGAATTCTTCATCTGTCCAGTGGGGAAGGCAGATACCATTTCAAATACTCTATGTTGAGGGGTCAGAGAGGGAAAGGAACCAGAGCATTTGGACATTTAGAGATGGGAGACAACATTCTAGACTAAGGGATATATACACAAGAGTAAAGTCTGGGAAACAAACAGCCTGTGTAAAGTAAAACAAAAAGGCAATTTATGGCCCAGCCGGTGTGGCTCACTGGTTGAGTGTTGACCCATGGACCAAGAGTTCTTCAGTTCGATTCCTGGTCAGGGCACATGGCTGAGTTGCGGGCTTGATCCCCAATAGGGAGTGTGCAGGAGGCAGCCAGTCAGTGTGTCTCTCTCATCAATGTTTCTATCTCATCAATGTTTCTATCTCTCTCTCCCTCTTCTTCTCTTTCTAAACATCAATGAAAGCATATTAAAAAATTTTTTTTCATTAAAAATTTTTTTAAAAGACTTTATGGTCACAGTGAGGGGTTCTTAAGGGAGGCACACCACCATGAGGGTGCAACACCCTATATAGAGTTCTCCTACCACTCAGCCTAGGGTGGGGAATTATTTTAAAATATGAATCCTTAGAGGGCAGGACTTGGGTCTTAGTCACTGTAGTGTCCCAGAGCCTCGCACACATTGGGTGCTTAATTAGTTCATTTTTTCCAACAAATGTTTATTGAACTACTACTAGGCATTAGACCCCAGGCACTGGAAATAACAGTGAACAAGATTAGCAAATTCGCCCTGGCCGGTTTGGCTCAGCGGTTAGAGCGTTGGCCTGCGGTCCTGAGAGACCCGGGTTCGGTTCCCGCTAAGGGCGCATACCTTGGTTGCAGTTTGTCCCCGGCCCTGGTCGGTTGTGCGGGTGGCAGCCACTCGATGTGTTCCTTTCACATCGATGTTTCTCTCTCTCTCTCTGTTCCTCTCTCTCCCTCCCACTCTACCTGAACAAAAACTGGAAAAATGTCCTCGGGTGAGGATTAAAAAAAAAAAAAAGATTAGCAAATTCTCTGCCCTCAGGAAGTTTATGATCTAGTGGAAACAGTAGCTTTATTATTATTATTAATTTTGTTACTTTTGCTAAATACTGTGAAGGCGGGCTCCCTTCCCCCAAAGGCATAGTCAGAAAAAAACCTCTCAGAGGAGGAGACTGTGAGATAGGGAATGATAGTAAGAGGCAGTTTTGAGAACAGCAAAGGAAAGAGTACAAGACAGAGCTACATGTGCAAAGGCCTTGGGGTGGAATGAAGTCTGATGGATTTCCAGGGTAACAGGAACAGGGTGAAAAGGTTAAGGGCCAAGGTGAGGCTGATGGGGCTCAGGTTGGACAAGGCCCTACAGGCCATGGTAAGGGGTGAGAACATGGTTTTAAGAGTAATGGGCCCTGCCCTGGCAGATTTGGCTCAGCGGTTAGAACGTCGGCCCGCGGACTGAAGAGTCATGGGTTCAATTCCGGTCAAGGGCACATACCTCGGTTATGGTCCATCTCCGGCCCTGGTCGTGGTTGTGCAGGAGGCAGCCAGTGGATGTGTCCCTCTCACATCAGTGTTTCTCTCTCCCTCCCTCCCTCCTACTCCATCTGAAGATAAATAGAAAAATATCCTCAGGTGAGGATTTAAAAAAAAAAAAGAGTAATGGGCCCTAGCTGGTGTGGTTCAGTGATTAGAGCATGTAATGAGTTAAGCCCCTCCCATTCCGCACCAGAGTCACAGGTTTGATTCCCAGTCAAGGGCACCTACCTAGGTTGTATATTCGATCCCCTGCCCTGGTCAGGGTGCGTGCAGAAGGCAACCAATTGATGTGTCTCTCTCACATTGATGTTTGTTTCTTTCTCCCTCTCCCTCTCCCTCACTCTCTCTCCTTCCTTCCCTTTCTCCTTCCTTCCTTTTCCTCCCTTCTACTCTTTAAAAATAAAATCAATGGAAAAAAATATCCTTGGATGAGGATTAACAACAAAAAAAGAGCAATGGGAAGCTATGGATGGGATCCCTCTGGCTTCTGTATACACAGATGGGGGGGGTGTTGGGGGGGGGATTTAGGGCAGGGGACAGACAGGAGTCAGGCAGGACTAAGCCCTCAGGACTGAATCCATGGCAGTAGGACAAGGCGAATGTGCGAAGGCCTTGAATGAAGGGCCAAAGGTACCTGGGGGAAAGTGAAGGAGGGAGCAAAGCGTCAGCCTGCCTGGCTCAGTATACCAGGTCCCACCCAGCTGGATGGAGGGCAGGTTCACATCAGCACCTGAGAAGGGCTTTATACACATTCTCTCCCCAAGTGCTCATAGCACTTCGTAGGCTGGCATCTGTGATAGTCCATTTCATAGAGGAGGAAGCAGGCACAGAGAGATCAGATGCTCATGCCATTCTGTGTTCCATGCTGCTGTACACTCTTGGAGGGGTGGGGGGAAGAGAGACCAGTACAGTGCATCAAGGGACAAGGGCACAGACAAGCTCCATGCAAGGGTCCCTTCTGTGAGGCAGTGTGAACTCAGGCCTGGTAGGAGTGCAGATAGAGGATAGGGCGTGGCCAGCCTGGGCTCAGGGAAGGCCCCAGAAGTGATGGCATCTATGCTAGGGAGGATTTAGATATGAGTAGGAGCTTGGGACCCACTCCAGGCAAGGGACTGTCCAGACAAGACCAGCAGGTCAGAATTTCAGGACAGACTCCAGGGCTAATGAGTGGTTCTCTCTATTTTTAATCCTCACCTGAGGATATTTTTCCACTTATTTTCAGATAGAGTTGGGGGAGGGAGAGACAGAGAGAAACATCGATATGAGAGAGACACGATTGGTTGCCTCCCGCACGACCCCAACCAGGGCCAGGGATCAAACCGCAACCAAGGTACGTGTCCTTGACAGGAATTGAACCTGTAACTCTGGTCCTCGGGCTGACACTCTAACCGCTGAGCCAAACCGGCCAGGGCATGAGCAGCTCTCTTGATTGGTGTGTGCCATGGGAGCCAGGGCTGGCATGGCAGACAGGCTCCCTGGGCAGCTCTACACAGGCTGGTCTTTAGTTCAGGAGAGACCCCAGAGACCCCTGAGATGAGGAAACAATGTGGGCTGGGTTTTCATGTGCGGAAAGGGTGTCATGAATGAGTAATGAGTGGTGGTGACTACTGAAGGGAAGTACCTCCTGGTTCTTTAGACTCTGAACTTTGCCCAGGCTCACGGAATGCCAGATGAGAGGGCTCTGTAGACTGGCGCCAGGTGCCCCGCCTCGACCTCAGCACATGCTGTTCCCTCTCTGCCTGGCCCTTCTTGACTCTGCTCTCCAGGGCATACCTTCACCATGTTCCCTAGCCTGGCTTCCTGGTTTTCTCTTTATTTGTTTGTTTTTGTTGTCTGCTGGGACAGGGACATGTCACTAACTGCTGTATTTCCAGTAAACATGCCAGGCACTTGGTAGGCCCTTGGGAAGTAGTTGTTGATTGAATGACTGAATCAGACCAAAACCCCCCACTTTAGAGATGGTCAGACTCGGTCCAGCAAGAGGAAATCAGTTGCTCAGTCCACAGCCAGCCAGGGCCTTGCCAGGGCTGGAGCACCTAGGTCCAGTCCCTTCTGCCCCACCTCACTGCTTGGCAAACACATACTGAGAGGTCGCCCAGGGTAGCATTCCACATACATAGATTTTACGTGACAGTCTCCTTTTAATCATGGTCTTCACACCTTGGTGGCCCTGGGGGCTTTGAAGTCAGACAAACCTCCAGGGACCTTGTGAGTTCAGGCACAAATATCTGCTCAGTACCTTCCATGTGCTGGCCCTGTCGCTGCCCTCTCTGAATTCCCACCAAAAAGAGGGCTCTGAGAGAGGCCTGTGGGGCTGTGAGTATGCATAGTGGGAGCTGAGAAGATGGGTAATGTCATGAAGAAGTGACATTCAAGGACAAGAGTCAGCCCAGGCTGGGTGGCTCAGTTGGCTGGAGTTCATTTCATCCACCAAAAGGTTGTGGTCAGGGCATGTACGGGAGGCAACTAGAGGATGTTTCTCACATCTCTCTCTCTCTCTCTCAAATTAAAAATATATGTATATCCTCAGGCGAGGATTAAAAAAAAACCAAAGATAGGAGTTATCTCAGGTACCTGCGAGGCCTGGAGAGTTCAGGCAGAGGGAGCAGGTGTGCAAATGTCTAGGGACACAAGAAGTCACATGGCAGGTGAAGGTTCTGCCTGGAGGGTGGTCTGGTGAGGACAAGTGGAGGTGAGGAGGCAGAGGGTACTGGGACAGCAGCCATGAAGACACAGTCCTAAGAGATGTGGGGACCAACCCACTGGTGGATTTTGTGTAGGGCTGACCTGCTCTGGCTGGTGTTTTGGGAGATCACTGCTGTTATAAGGAGAGTGGATTGGGAGACCTAAAAGGCTGTGGGCTGGCCCCTGAATAGCCCCTGCAGGCTCTGGGCAGGAGCCAATGACTGGCTCCAGTGGGGGTGGCCATGGCAGGCACTATTCCAAGGACCTGTTACCTCCCTGTGTTTCCATGCAGGGGACTTTGTGCAGCTGCCCGTGCCCATCGTCCAGCAGCTCTACCACTGGGACTGCGGCCTGGCCTGCTCCAGGATGGTGCTGCGGTGAGTGGGCAGGTCAAGGCTCTCACCATCCACGCCACATTCTCTGGCTCGGGGAGACACAGGGAGAGCCTTGGGTGGGATTCATCATCCCTGTGGCCATTCTTGGTTGGGCTTGTGGGAGGCCTGGCTTCCACTGAGGCTCAGTGTCATCTGCAAAAGCAAACAAGCAGCAGGACCAGGCCTTCCAGGTGTCCACTCGGGGACAGCCAGGGATGTCCTTGGTGCCCAGGCCTGGCCCACAGAGTGACTCCATGACTGGGACACAGGGCCTCCCACCTTTCCAGCCTCAGGCTCCTGGGAGACTGGGTCACTAGGGAGCCAACCACAGAGCTGAGTCTGTGTGACCATCACTGGAACTTTGACCATCAGAGCCTTGAGGGACCATAGTCATCACTTTGTAGGAGGCATTTCAGGTGGCTGCCTGGAATCCGGAGCAGCTTGGCCCTTCCCCATTTTGCATCCAGGAATTCCAGGCACAGTAGGGTTCAACAAAAGAATTATCTGACTGAAACTTAGAAAATCACTGATGTGGTCCAAGCACATCTTAGAGATGAAGCTAGTGAGGCCAGAGAGGGTGGTGACCTGCCCAAAGTCACACAACCCACAAGAGATGTGAGACGCAGAATCCAGGCCCTCAACTCCAGGGACAGCATGGTGCCCAGGCGGCTTCAGGTTGTGCCCAGGTTTTGTGGGCAGGACGTCAGGTTTTATCACAAAGGACGGAATCTTCTGGGGAGTGGGAGTTGTGCTAATGGCTGATGGGCCCGCAGGTGGAGCATGACCCAAACCAGCTTCCCTTCGAGGGCGAGCCGACCTCAGTGGCCTGTCTGCCCACAGGTACCTGGGCCAGCTGGATGACGGCGAGTTCGAGAACGCCCTGCAGGAGCTGCGGCTGACCAGGAGCATCTGGACCATTGACCTGGCCTACCTGATGCGCCACTTCGGTGTGAGACACCGTTTCTGTACCCAGACCCTGGGTGTTGACAAGGGCTACAAAAACCAGGTGAGTGGCTAGCCATCAGACCTTCACCAGGTGCAGTAGTTGGAAGAGCATGCAGTCAAGGCCTGGACACTCGAGTGGGCACACAGGTGGGCAGGACTTGGAGCCAGTCAGTCCAAGTGACCTTGAGGTCCTACCTATGCAGAGGTTCTGAGCAGTAAGCTGGCCCCTCCTTCCTAGAGTCCTCTGCCACTTGCCTCTAACAGCACTTGAAGATGAAGATGTGCACAGGAGTGTTTCAGGGTGCCTTCCTGCACCCTCCCCGCTGCCCTCAGCACAAGGCAGGGCACAGGGCTTCAGAGCACAGCGTGCTGACCTTGTCCAGCCATCATTTCCCATTCTCTTTCTTCTCATGGGAACAGCCAGCTCCAAGTTGGGTAATTGGTATTCTGGAATAAAAACCAAAATAACATCTTTTTTGTTTGAGAAAGAATGCCTATATAGGTGCCCAGTGTACCGGTGTTTCCTCCCTGCACAGCCAGAGCCAGAGCCACCCGCTGTGGAGACCCGTCTCAGCCCAAGCTCTAACACTTGGCAGAGCAGAGTCGCTGTTGGCCTCTTTGGCAAGAGGGTTGTTGCATGGTTGCCAGGATAGCCAACCTAATGCTCCCCTAGCCTGCCAGGCCAGGGGAAGAAGACTCTTGATTCTGGTTTGGTCACCATGGCTGCAAGGCAGAGAAAGGGGCCCAAGAACAGGGTCGCTTCTGCCTCCTCCACGGGGGCTCTGCCCCCTTAATTCCTGTACCAAACAGAGTATGCGCCATGGATCCCAGCTGCCAAGCTGAGTGCTCACCTACTCAGATTCCTGCTCATGCCCACCAGGAGCCCAGGGGTGACTGACCTTTCTCGGGGAGCCCGGCTACCCACTCATCTCCTGAGCATCCTCTCTGTGCCTCTGTGGTCCTGTGCCCGCCAGCAAGCCACCTGTCTGCTCGGGACACACAGCTATCTGCCCACGTGTTGCCTGTGCCATCTCCCCAGCAGGCCGGTTCCTCCACAGTCCTGCCATTTCTGACTCCATAATGTGTTCTTTATCCAAATGGTGAGGGCCTCCAGGGTGGCAACCACTCCAGCCTGTCCTTTTCTCCTCAGTCCTTCTACAGGAAGCACTTTGACACAGAGGAGACTCGAGTGAACCAGTTGTTTGCACAAGCCAAGGCCTGCAAGGTGCTGGTGGAGAAATGGTGAGCCTCCCCCACCTTGTGTACCTGCTCGCCCATAGACTTGCAGTGGGAAGCCTCCGGGTGGGTGTGAGAAAGGCCAGGCCCTCAGGAGTCGGGCAGAACTGGGGTTTCTGCCTGGGAGGCTGTGGGCACTGACATCCTTCTGAGCCTTGTTTTTTTCATCCATAAAGAGGGGATCTGTGGGGCTACATGATCTGTACACAAACCTCTGGCTTGGGGTGGATCCTGAGCAGGGGCTGGAGGTACAGGGGAGCAGGACGTGTCTAGCCAGTCCTTGGGCTACTCACAGAATGGTGGCATGGGACAGAACACAGTAACTCATAGGAAGGGGTGATAGCCTGAGGGCCATGCTGCATGGTGACGGCGGGTGATGGGGACAGCCCAGTGTGTAGGCTATGTAGGAAGGCCTGGCTCCCAGATCTCCCCACGAGCTCTGTGACCTTACATGGGTCCCCCCTTCTCATCTCTACGTGGGAGCAGGACCAGGCAGACCCTGGGAGTAACTTGCCCAGATGCAAGTGACCTTTTTTCCGGGCTCACTGGGCACCGCGCTCAGGCCTATGGCTCAGGTCCCAGCAGCCTCTCCTCGACCACTCTTCTCAGGTCTCCCTGTTCTTTCCAGATTTGTTTTCATTGTTACCAGAATGTAGCCACACGTAGGTGGTTTGGGAAACTGGAAAAGTCTCCACGCACCCTTAGGCCACATGCGCACATGTTGGAAGGAAAGGCAGCGCACGCTGACTCAGTGGCACTCGGCAGGCGCCGTGCTGTTGAGTGGGACGCCGGCGCTGTCCACGTCCTTGGGTGCGGAGACTGAGGACGGGAAGATGGTGTGAGCGCGCAGTCCCCCAGCACCCTGGCCACCCTGTGGTCCGAACCTGACCTTTCACACGCACTTGTCCCGTGCAGCCCCCGGCCTTCCCTCCAGCACAGCCCTGCTTTGCTCCTGTGGCTAACTCCCACTCTTGCACATGCCACTGGGTATCAGCCAGGCATCCTGTTCCGAAGACCAAATAGGAAAAGGACATGCCTTCCTGGGCCGAGGCAACAAACCGAACGCCGCGGGACCTGGCCAGGCCACCCTCCTGAGGAGACTGCTAAGAAGGGAGGGCCAGTGAAGATGGTGGAGGTCCAGCCTAGGGGACCACCCTTCTCCCCTTCTGGGTTACTGTTTGGACTTGCTGCCTTCTGGGGGGCACCACAGGGGCCGCTGGCTCTGCTGGCCTGGGGGTTTGCCGGGAAGTGCTGCTGACCAGCCCTTCCTGGAGGGCCACTCTGCCACAAAGAGCTCAGGAAAAAAAGGAAAATTGCTTTTCAGAGAAGTATTTGGTTTTGACACTGGCAAAGCCACGCTTGGCTCAGACTGGGGAATCAAATTGGACAAACATAAACCACACATGATTTAGGGTAAAGGCCCATTGGAGGCACTTGACTAAAATAATTCACTTAGCAGTCCCAAGGTGGGGTCCCACGTGCTGCTCCACTAGCCCTTGATGGGGGTTCGCCCGGACCTGACCTGCTGGGTCCATGAAGGGCCTGGTGGGGCCAGCTTGTTCTTGGGCACACTTGTAGCCCCTCCACTGGCCCTGTGCTTGGCCTTGGCTGAGCCTGGGCCACAGTAACACAGCAGGACATTGCCACTTGCAAGGAGCTCGAGGCGGAGGGAAGATGAGCCATGTCCCCAAGCTGTGTGACACAGGGCAGAACAGGGGTCCACTAGAGAGATGGGGAACGGTGCCCAGTGCACTGACCGACCCTCCTCCCACCCACAGCACCGTGAGTGTGCAGGACATCCAGGCGCACCTGGCACAGGGCCACGTGGCCATTGTGTTGGTGAACTCGGGGGTGCTGCACTGCGACCTCTGCTCCAGCCCCGCCAAGTACTGCTGCTTCGCCCCCCGTGGCCACCGCTGCTTCTGCCGCACCCCCGACTACCAGGGCCACTTCATCGTGCTGCGTGGCTACAACCGGGCCACTGGCTCCATCTTCTACAACAACCCAGCCTATGCCGACCGTGAGTGTGATGGGTGGGGACAGTAGGCAGGGCAGCTGCATTCACAGTCCCATACACCTGGACACCTACAACTCCTTCCCATTCGGCCTGGTAGGTCAACATCACCCTCACCGCCTTCTCCCCAAAGCCCCTGCTCCTCCTGGGCCCCTGTCATCTGTGCCGTCCCTCTGGCCATGCAACAAACCAGCCACAAACCTGGGACTGTGCTGGCCCCCTCCAAACCCCGGTCATCACCAGGCCTGGCCGTCTCTCCTTCCCACACTGCTAGCCCACACCACTACCCAGAGCCCCGCCACACTGTCCCATGCTGTATAGACCAGTTTCCTTCCCTCCAGCCCCAACCCCTTCTGCAGACCCATCCAGGGCGCCCCACTGCCCTGGGGACAAGGAAGGACTGCCCTAACTCACCTAAACTCACCCATGTGGCCTCAAGCATGCTTCTTCTCTCTGGGCCTCGCTTTCTTTGTCCGCTAAAATGATGAGGGTCAGCAACCAAGGCCACAGTAGGCAAGGAGGGATCCTGGGGTGGAAGACTTATGTGGCAAGGAGTGCCCAGGTAGGTGGGACATGCCAGACCTCCCCCAGCTTCCCTGGGTGCCAGTGAAGCAGGTGCTCTCCCCCACCCCCGACCCTGCTCTGCCTCCTGCCCCCAGCAGGAATGTGCAGCACCAGCATCACTAACTTCGAGGAGGCCAGGACCAGCTACGGCACGGATGAGGACATCCTCTTTGTCTACTTGGACAGCTGACAGCGGGAGCCTGGTGTGCCCAGGCCCTCAACCCCACCCTGTCCCGCCTGCCCCAGCTGGGCCCACTCAGGAGGCCCTGGGCTCTGATGCAGAGCTTCGGCCTCAGTCCATGTGACAAAACCCCAGGGAACTCTGGGAGACCACAGCACACCTGATTCATCCACCAGTGGTGAGTGTCATCACGCCACTTACCCCACACACCTGCTGGTTGCTGGAGGCATCCCCAGAGCTGTGCAGAGCTTTCCCAGGACACCCCGCCTGACTCCACTGTGCCCAGGGGACATGCAGCCCCGAGGGTGTCCTTACTGCCTGCAAGCCAGACCCAGGACTGGAAGAGAGACCTGAGCCTGTCTCCCCACAGACCTGGAGACCAAGCCCTGGAGAGAGATGTTGCTTGTCAGGACACTTGTGTGTTTGGAGACCATAGCTGACCCTGGCCTCGTGGGGAGCTGTCCTTACCCTTCTCCCTAGAAGAGCTGCAGAGCCCCCAAGTTCCCAGGGTTGGTTCCCTGGGGAGGGCTGGACCTTAGGCAAAGAGGACTCTGAGGCCCCACAGCCCTCCAGGTACTCCACTCTCTAGGGTATGGCGCTTTCTGGCCCACAGTGCTGAGTGTGCTCAGGAAAAGCCAACCCAGAGGGCCAGGGACAGCTGTCTGGGCCCCAAAGATCCCCGCCCCCCACACCAGGAGACCTCCTGACACAAACCTAAGTTCCAGCAGTGGGGCCCATCCTCTGAGTACAGGGAGCCCTAAGTTTTGCAGGGCTGGGTGGGCTCTAGGGCCTGTGCCCCTCAAGCAATGGTGGGGTTGCAGGCTGTGGCCTCCCACCCACCCTGGTGTTCACGCCAGAACCTTTTGCACAGAACATTGGGTCTCTTCTGCCTTGAGAGAGATGTGTGGTGCCTGCCCCGGATCACACAGCATGGCATGGAGCATGGGCCAGAACTCTTGCCTTTCTTTTTTTTTGGGGGGGGGGGGACTGGTTTATTTGAGATTTAAGATTATACTTTTGGGGGTGAAAATCACCCTCAAGATACTAATAGTGAGATCGCAGGTACTTTGGAACCACTGACACCTCTTCACGGGTAGATCAGCCAGTTCAGGTTCTCTCTCAAAGAGGACGCCCAGCTGGCAGGCCGAGTGCCAGGGCCCTCACCTTGCAGACAGAATTCAGCCCCATCTGGGGAGAAGTTGCCCAGGAGACTGACTGGCAGAGCTGGATCTTGAACCCAGGCCTGCACCTAAAAAATAAGGGAAGTGGATCATTCCCAAAGGGCTGGGGACACCCCCCCACTCATGGGCTGCCTCTGGCAAAGGGGCAGGGGTGCCCCGACAGCCCCACTGCTCCTGCACCCTTGTGTGTCTTGGTCTTCCAGTGCCCAGGGCATGATGCGGTGGCAGTGCTGCCCCTCCCCCCGGACTGCAAACCACACTCAGCATCTGCCCCCACCCACCAGCTGTGCCCTCCCCACCATGGCTGCTCTGGGGGCAGAGGTAGGCTCTGCTTACAGTGGCTGTGAGACTACCCAGCTGAAACCAGACACAGCCTTGCCAAGAGGGGTGCTGTAGCTGGGCAGCCACTCTGGGTGGGAGACTAGTGTTGCCTTCAGACTGGTCTCATCTCTGTTGCCTTAATGCTGCGTGACCCAGGGTCCCGGGGAGCTCTGGCTCCACGCCCAGGAGCGCCATGTGTGGCAGCTGTGGGGTTCGGGCGTCCTCAGGAGGGGTCTGGGTAAAGCTGGTGAGAACAGAAATATCAAGGGAAACAGGAAGTGAAGCTCTCAGAGTGGCTGGATGTGAGCACAAAGCACGGTGCACACGCTGGTGGGGCACCATGGAGAGCAGCCTCCACGGAGAGTGGTCACAGCTCCTCAGCCTATCATGCGACATTTAAAAACCCGCCCAGTTCCTAGGCTTGGAGGATGGCTTCTCAGGGCGAGCCACAAGTTAGGGGTCACCTGTCTGGAAGATTGACAAGAAAGCTACCTATCCCTGAGATGGTGCCATCTTCCTGGGGAGGGTCACGGAGGCAGGATGCAAACTATGCTCTCTTGTGCAATGAGAAATCATGAAAATGGGGCCAGAGAAAAAGCCCCATCAGGAACTTCTGCCTACAGCACATGGCACCCATGACCCCTGTACACAAGCTGGGGGTCCAGCACAACCCCCAAAGCCACAGTGGACAGCTGGCTTTGTTCACTCCAGCCACATAGGGACAAAAGGGATCTTTTGTGTCACAGAGATTTTATATATAAATATATTTTGTTTGTAATGAGCCATTCTAAATAAACGTTACCTTCACTGCAAAATGATGGCAGCCCTTGGTCCACTTCATGAATTCTTATCTCCCCAGCACAGCCCAAGCCCTTCACTTGCCATGCCGGGTTTTAGCTGGGACTAGAACCCTGTTTGCTTGCTGGGCCTGTTTCCCTCCTGAGGCTTGTGCAAGGCCTAGGCAGGCAATGCTGGAGGTGGAAGGCCTCCGATCTCAGCTTGACTGAGGTTCTTGAGGGCATGGAGGGTGTAAAGCCTTGGACAGGAGGAGGGCTGGGGGTGGGGAATGCCAAGTGAGGGGGGCAGTGGGGCCCACAGGAGGGAATAGAGGGGACTCCAGCCCTCCCTGCACCCTCCACCCCAACCAGCAGCTCCCCTTATCTGCTAGCTGCTGGGTCCTTCTAGTCTTCCTTTGATAAGAATTCTGGAAAAGGAAGTGTTTGGAAACTGCTTTACCTGGCAGCTTCAGACCTGCCCCAGGTCCTACAGGGAGCTGATGGAACCCAAGCCAGCTCTGGGTACGGTCCCAGCCTCTGGCCTGTGCTCATCCTGACTGCCTGCTGCTGCGCCCCTCCCCAAGCCCACACTGTGGAGATAACTTAGTAGGAGTTCTGACCAGGGTCTTCGACTCAACTCCAAACTGGAAAGCAGCCCTGTAGACATCAGCTGGAGGGTTGACCAGCCTATAGGGTTCCCAGCCAGTGTGCCCAGCACACATGTAGCCAACAGCATGTGAACACCAGTGAGCCTATCCATCTGCACTTCAGCTTGAGACCTCTGCCCATCCAGTGGGAAGGAGTCCTATTCTGAAGGGTGTATCGTGAGACGGGGATAGTGATTGGCTTGGGGCCTCTGAGGGGCCACTGAACGCAACTGTGGGAGAAGAATGAAAGAATGAGGGAGGCGTTGGAGTAGGAGGGATGGAAGCAAGTGAGCTAGTGAGTCCTGGGTAGAGTTGGTTGCCCAGAGCATACGGGGTGGGGATAGTGGTGGGGACAGGCTGAGGACTGCTGGGAGGGGCCCCACTGGGTTCCAAAGGACCAGGCCAAAGCAGAGATCTAGACACAGCTGAGCTGATGCCTTTGCCCAGGGCCTCCCAATCTATTGGCTGGGGCTGCAGTCACCTCAAGTCTCGACTGAGGCAAGCACCTGCTTCCAAGCTCACTCATAGGGCTGCTGGCCACAGGCTGCCTGGGTGTCCTTATGACATGACAGGTAGTAATGACAGGGAGAGGGAGGCAGGGGGGAAACAAGGTCCCAGCATTTTAATAACCAATCTCAGAAGTGACATCTTATCATTTCTGTGGTATTCTGTTTGTTAGAAGCTAATTGGTCAGTCCATCACCCACCAGGGATTACATAGGGTATGAACACCAGCAGGCAACGATCACTGGAATTCTGGCGGTTCCATTTGTTAAACCTCACAACAGAGCCAGGAACACCCGGGACCATCTTGTCTTGCGCATCCCAAGCTGCGTCCTTCAGTATGCCAATGGTGAGAAGTTCTGTACAATGGGGTGCCCTGGTCAGGTCAACTTGGCAAACACTGCATGCTACAGCCCCCTTGGGGAGAGTGAGGATGTGCAGAAAGGCTGGGTATAATCCCACAGCAAGGGGACCCCATTCATTTAGGGTTTCCCCAAATTAGCCACAGAGATTGTTTCTGTGTGACACAGGTATTCCATGAAATATATGGACACTTAGGTAACCACTGGTCTAGTCCGAGGGTGAGACTGCCATCAGAGGGGAGCAACTGGCCCAAGGTCATTACCCAATGAGCCATAGACAGAGCTAGAAGCTCTAGAGCAGTGACAACCAGTCATTGCTGCTTTTCCAACCCTCAGCCCAAGCCACAGTCAGAAGCAACCCCGGTGACCCTGGTAGGTGAGCCAATGAGTTCCTGCCTCCAGATAGACAGCCAGCATCTGGCCCCAGTTTCATCACAAACACCTTCGCCTCAAGCATGTTTGTCACAGGAATTTACCTGCAGACATTGTTACTGCAGAACTATCGGCCAAAAGGCGATTGTGCTGTGAAAGATAAGATGACTGTTGAACAGTGTGGCTTACATGTGGCCTTAAACTAGTGGATAACAACTACGTATAAAGCCAGACGGCAGCCCTGGCCAGTTTGGCTCAACGGTTGGAGCATTGGCCTGCAGACCAGAGAGTCCCGGGTTTGATTCCTGTTGGGGCACGTACCAAAAAAAAAAAAAAAAGCCAGACGGCAAAGCTACATGTAAAGCCAGATTGCATACAATCCAAGAAAATGATTACATACCAGTGTGTCTGCAAATCCTTCGGTGATCACAGTCATCACTCTCAGCTGTCGAAACCCAAAAAGTTGACCAAGCTATGGCAAATATGAAAGGGCTGCAGCTAATTCACAAGAGTCTTTAAGAGCATTAAGGATTGATTCTTCAGTTGGAAACTGATACCTCTCCTAATGAGGAAAGACATTTATCATTTATTTTTAGAGGACATTTATAAACACTGGGGACAGTGAAACAAGGAAGGGCCTTGGACAGAAGCAGCACCAGGAGAGGGACTAGCCTAGGCTGGGCTCACTAAGAAGTCAGAGACAAGGGGGTCTTGGGGACAGGGTCAGGGGTTTTCCCAGGATGAGCCACCACTGTCCACTGCTCCCTGGTTGCAAGTCTCAAGGGAACCCTTGGAGTTTAGGAGATGTGTCTGTAGGGAAGAGGGGGAAGGGAAAGGCTCCGTGTGCTCCTGGGACAGAGCGTGCACAAGAAAAAAATTTTAGTGGAAAAAAAAAAGGGTGAGGCTGAACAAGATGAATCAACAAGCAAAAAAGAATGTATCACACTAAACAAAAGACTTCAAAGAATATATTATCATTTTTTGTAATAAAGTTTTTAAAATTCTGTTACTCATTTTTTCATGCTTTATTTTGTGCTTTCTAATGTCTCTTTTATTGTATATGGTGAAATTGCTTTATGGCCAATTAGTTATATGGCAAAAATGCTTGCAGCAAAGATGCCTGTGGCAGAACTATCTAGAACCCCTGGAAGAGCACAGGGGTTCTTCCACTCTTCTACTCTTTTGCTAACTTGCCTCCACTGACCTGCCCAGCTGGTGTCCAGGAACGCACATCATGGACTTGCCTGGACCCTCCAGCTTCAGAACAGAATTGAAAAAACCCTGATCCAGGGGCTGAGTGATGGGACCATTAGGGACTTGAATGTTCATGGGAAAACTGTAGTTCCAGGAAATGGAGACCGAGACTCCCACAGGCTCAGCACAGTGGCCTCTCCAGTGGTTTCTCCATCATCTCCCCACCCCCACCCCCTGCCTCCTTCCTCTTTGCCTTTCCCTGGCTGCATGTCCTGACATGCACCCTTAATACAGGCATACTTCGGAGATATTGTGGGTTCAGTTCCAGATCACTGCAATAAGGCGAGTACTGCAATAAAGTGAGGATCTTGCCTTTAATTTGTTTTGTTTTTGTTTTTTTAAGTATTTTTTTTTTATCCTCACCCGAGGACATTCTTTCATTTTTTGTTCAGATGGAGTGGGAGGAAGAGAGAGAGAGAGAGAGAGAGAGAGAGAGAGAGAAACATCGACGTGAAAGGAACACATCGAGCGGCTGCCCCCGGCACAACCCAACCAGGGCCGGGGACAAACTGCAACCGAGGTACGTGCCCTTAGCGGGAACCGAACCTGGGTCTCTCTGGACCGCAGGCCGACGCTCCAACTGCTGAGCCAAACCAGCCAGGGCTAATTTGTTTTTTTGTTTATTTGTTTTTTAAATAGATATAGTCTTGCTAATTTGTTTTTTTGTTTGTTTTTTATTTTTTTTAATCCTCACCCGAGGATATTTTTTCCATTTTTTTGTACAGATAGAGTGGGAGGGAGAGAGAGAGAGAAACATCGACGTGAAGGGACACATCGAGTGGCTGCCACCCGCACGACCAACCAAGGCCGGGGACAAACTGCAACTGAAGTACGTGCCCTTAGCGGGAACCGAACCCGGGTCTCTCCGGACCGCAGGCCGACGCTCTAACCGCTGAGCCAAACTGGCCAGGGCTTGTTTGTTTTTTAAATAGATATAGTCTTTCCCATGAAGCAACTTTTACTTTATTTTTTAAAATATGTTTTTATTGCCTGGCTGGTGTGGCTCAGTAGTTGAGTGTCAACCCATGCACCAAGAGGTTGCCAGTTTGATTCCCAGTCAGGGCACATGTTCAGGTGGTGGGCCCGATCCCCAGTGGGGAGCATTCGGGAGGCAGCCAATTGATGTTC